TGATCTTGAGGGTTTACTTAAAAACTCAACCACTATTATCTTTTGTGTTCTACAAGAAAATCCAAAAAATGCTTCGCAGAAATCAGCTAATTTCAACCTCTGATTTGCAAAGAAACGAGGTTGGTTCTACCAGTTGCCAATATAAAGCTTAGGACAGCAGGCTACCCACTGTGGTCCAAAAACCATGTTGTTGGTAAAGGTAGGACCACTTATGACTAGAACAAGTGCTCGTCATCGAATTATCCAATCAGAAGGTATTGGACAACTAGACCTAAAAGCTTAAACTGTTAGATAAGACTTATATATTTATTTAAATCTTGTTTTCAACACAGGTGGTTACTATCAAGTTAATTGAAGAATTAACCTACTCATACATTGATTTGTGGCGTGCATATGTCCATTGATTTGAATTTCAGAAATTCAAATTCAAATCAATGGATATAGATGTAATTCAAATCAATGGATGCATTTGTCAAACTATCTGTACAATATAGAAGAATCGTTAATTAAATTGGGGACTTAAATGTTCCAATGTGATCAATTTTTCGCTTTGTGAAATAACTCCAATGAGAAGAAAAAATGCTCAACTTTCTGTTGTTTACCCTACAAGTGGGGTACACAATATTATGGTCAGAAATTTCTATTCCAAACGAGTTTTCTTGAATTGTATTTGGTTCATATATGTACCACTTGTTAAAACATTTGTAAAATAATGTCGATTTTTGACATTATTAGATGCTTAAAAGAGTTTGCACGAGTCATGAAATTATTCAAGAGAGGTTTGGGATAATGGACGATGGAGAGGCCAACCTTCCAGAGCTTGTGGGCGGCCAGGCTGCAGCATGCAGAGGCAGCCGCTCACATGCTCAGGGCAGTCGCCCCCAGTTCATGCTATAATGCATGCTTATGTACCTATTCATGTTTTCCCCGATTTTCTCACCTCTTTTCTCTTGGAATCGGTTATGCAAAAGGCTGTTTTTGTTGTAGTTAACTGTAAATATGAAGTCATGTGACTCTTGTGAATAATTGTAACGTATGGTAATGCATTACTTCGCCATCTATAAATAAGATTGGTGATTTGCTAATTGATATATACTTGTAATTCATGTTGACATTATGCAAGTATAATGTGATTTATTCCCTTTGATTTTGTTGCATTACAAATGACTCAGTTGAATAATTTTTCTTTCACTATCTTTTTTATACTCTGTCATTCTCGAGAGACAAAGTATAGTCCTCGAATATAGAGATAATTAATTCTTGGTGTTCGGCTTGTCTTCATGGATGCACAACATAGACAATATGATGACTTCATTGTATCCTGGAGGGGTATTTATGTCCCGAGTGCATCACTGGATTAATAGGGACAAATAGCGTCTTAAGAAAGGTGCAAACACGTGCCTTGAAGCCTTGTTCTTCATTGTTCGTATTATAAACTGAATCCAAAGAAACATAGATAAAATCATAGAATCGCAGATTACATCATAAACCCTAAATCACAACATCAAGGCTTAGATCTTTCAATCGAAGGCTCAGACCACACCCATTAACCATCACAGAGGCACCGAGACTCAAAACGAACCCTCACAACCCAAACACACCAAGGTCACTTCACCGGACTCAAGAAATCAAACTGCCTACCTTCGGTCGATCACTCACACCAAGGAGAATCACACAAGAACACGATTATCACAAAGATAATCAACCAGAAATCTCACAAAGAGAAGAAGGAAGGATCACACAGACGAAGGAACTCGAAGGTTCCAAACGGCAGAGAGAAAGAGAAAAACAGAAAGTGACGATCCAAGAGCCAAACAGGGAGTAAGGAAAATATTTATAGTAAATATCATCAACCGTTGATC